TTGATGTAAAAGATTTACCTGATGGTGCATGACCACTATTAGAAGGTGCCATTAAATTAAGAGGCACTAATTCAAAATATTTTTCAACTGAAGAAGATGATAAACATCCTTGTCCACATGGTAATTGGCCTGGCTGCAATAATGGCTCTTAGTGATGTGCAGTGACCCTATTTCTGAGATGCATCTTTATAATGTATCTTCAATGATAGTACCAACTGTCAATTCCTTCCTCTCTTCTCCTCATTCAAAATGTCATACAATGCTACTCAAATTTCTTCACAGAAAGTGACCAGTCAGTGGATGGCTTTGAAACTTGGGGTGCTCGGTTACTACAGGATCATTGCTCCTTCTGGTTTATTGTAGTCAAAAGTGTTAAAATATGTGTCTCTATCATGTACTCAGGTAGCAGAAGACCCTCACAATCATGTAGGGAGCTATACAGTAGGCAACAAAACCCTTACAATGTTTTGCACTTTTTAAAAGACATGGCTATTCCTCCAGAAATAAATTCGGTAAATTGCTGAAAATATTATGTAATATACTTCAACATCATACCTTCCAGAAATGCACAACCACAAGGCACCATGTCCTTATTTGGTAAGTCCACATCACACACAAACCAATAGCTCATTGTAAGGGTTTTGTTGCACACTATTTTGAGACTATTATTACAAGAAATTAGTATTTAGTATGGCCCGTCTTTGCTCTAATCACTGCTGCAAGTCTTCTAGGCATACTCTCAATAAGCTTCTGACACTCCTCCTTTGGAATCTCTTCCCACACCTTCTGCACCCTCTCCCACAGTTCATGAACACTATTTGCAGGCTGTTCATACTCCCCCAGCTTCTTTTTGACATGATTCCACAGATGTTCAATAGGATTCATGTCAGGAGATTGTGCAGGCCACTTGAGGACTGTAACATCATGGTCAGTGAACCATTTCTGGCCCTTTTTGCTGGTGTGTTTGGGGTCATTGTTTTGTTGAAACACAATGTCAGCCACTGTTTTGTTGTAATATTTGAGGGTTTGCTGGAGTTCATTGTCCAGGATCTCCACATAAAGTTCAGCATCCATCCTCCCATCAATTTTGGTTGCAAACCCAACCCCATCCCAGCCAATGCATCCCCACATCATCAGGTTTCCTCCTCCAAACTTGACTGTTTCCTCTACTAACCTATCATTTAAGCCCTCACCCACATTTTTCCACACATATTTCCTTCCATCTGATCAGCCTATTAATATTAGTCTCATCAGACCATATGACCCTCTTCCAGTCCTCCAGGGTCCATTCCAAATGCCTTTCTGCAAACTCCAATTGAGATTTCTGATGATGAGGTTTGAGAAGTGGCCTTTTTCTCTTTACCACAGCCCTCATGCCTATGGTTTTGAGGTGGCAATGCACTGTTTGTGAAGTAATAGGAGTGTTGATGATGTCTATAAGTTTCTTGGTTGCCTGTGTGGCATTATCAACCTTCCCCATGCAAATTATTCTTCTAGCATAGGCAATATTGGCTGTAGTAAGCTTTGTAGGATGGCCACCAGAGCATTTGGGAGGTCAGGGCGATGCTCAGAGCAAATACAACTGATGGTGGCACTGCTGATATGAGTTTGGTAACATACTTGAGCTCCAGAAATGCCAGAGTCAAGTAGAGTAAGAACATGTTGGATTTGGCTGGAGGAGAGGTTTTTCATTGTGAGTAGGGTGATTGTGGGATTCCAACTGGTTGCTTTCATCTTATATACATTGAGGAAGAGTGGTCACATGATACAAATATATCAAAAAAAAAAAAAAAAAAGAGTGGTCACATGACTTTGTTGAACTTTATAAAGAAAGTCATGTGACTAGGACCCATTTTGAACTTTAAAAATGTGTGCTGTTGGCGGTCAAAGCTTATTTCCATTGATGATCCAAGCTTTATCTGGGGAAAAGGACTTTCCTCCTGTAGTGTCTTTTATTAACAAATACTGTTCTTTGAAGACCACGAAGAAACTGTTGTCGCTCGTGTTCTCACTTCGTTGACAAGTCTTTGTGAACTGGGTCTTTTCCAAAGAATGCGTCTGTGGGAACTCATGAGTGCTACTTTGGGCTTCATTTATCATTTGAATATATGAATCAGAGAAGGTGTGTCCTGCCAGTATTTTGTTGAATACAAATAACATTCAAGGAAATCTAGGCGCCTCCGCATTTATTGCAGGAGCAACGAAGAGGTTGCCCTCAACAGATGTCTGGTGTATACTATATCCTCCTTCAAAACATTTCTGGCGTTCTTATCTGCGAAGTATAAACGAGGGAAGTCTCCTTTAACGTTGAAAACTCCTGTCTGTTATTGGATCACTACAAATCGCTCCTATATCTATCAGCTCACCACATCTTTCATACAGCTTTCACGCCAAGTGTTCGATGCGGCAGTGCTTTGGGCGATAAAAGCCGATAAAACTATTTTCTGGAAAGCTCAAAGTTCAAAAGGCAAGGCCGTTCCGAAAGCTGAGACACGCAGGGAAACTTTGATATTCAATAGAAAGTCAGGAGCTACTTGTACAGCTGCAAACCGGACAGAAGAGTATGTGACCAGTTATTCTATTTTTTATATTCCTGAATTATAATACAGGGATGAAGCTGATATCTCCAAGCTTCAAAAGCTTGGGATGACTTCTACTGACGAGATCACACTTTTAGCACTTCGTGACTATATCATTAAACTTTCCAATGTGCTATCAAGGTGAGATATATCAAGGAAACTGGTCGACATATGAGACTGACATGATCTAGGTTTGCTACACGGTCGAAAGAACCAGAACCAGAAGCAATGGCGCACACGACGTCTGGCGTCGAGCTCCAGAAGCTCAGCGTTGTCCCACAAACTATATTCATCGCAACGAGGCCCTCCGAAGTTTCCACCAAAGGGGGTTCGTCACGGCGGTCAACACTCGATAGCCATGGACGTCACGGATTGTACAACAGTCCAGGCCTACCTCGTGTGGGTAGCCTCGAGAACATGGGTGCACTGACTACCAGGAAGCGCCGGCGGCGGTGGGCTCGGTGAAGGCTAACGCGACTGGCTTGTTGGAAGCCCATCTATTTAGCGGATGGGGATTGGGGTAGTGGAGGACGATACGGTTCTGTCGGGACAGTCTTCGCCTGTATCCAACGTCGGTACGGTGCGGTTTAGAGCCGCGAGACACAGGCATCAGTACCCTCCTGGGGCAACTCTACGATGAGAACTCCCGTGTTTTCAATGCAAGGAAGCTCTGATTTTGAATCTCTTATCGCACTCCGCAATGGTCTGGCGTGGCAGCGATGCCGTTCTTTGTGACGTGTTCAGATGATAAGACCTTGAAGGTGTGAGATACTGTGAGATTGGAAAGGGATGTGACTAGTAAGCCGCGACAGACGTATTCGCAGCATCATGCGCGTGTGACACCGGTATGTATGCTTGAGGGTGCGCATTGTTTTGCAAGTGCAAGTGACGATGGGAGTCTCCATGTTGTGACAGTGCATGTATCATCGAATGGGTCTATGCCCAAGTATAGTGAACTTCAGATAGTGAGAGAGCATCGAGTGGACCATGCAAGGGAATACATCACATCTCTTGCGCATTGCAATAACAGGTAAAGTTTTATTTCTTTAATCAAGTCATCTTTCTAACTCGTGTCTTTTAGAAACTACCTCTAACATCATATATGTTGCTACACATGCTACTGTCCTCGTCCTCGACCTTCGCACGATGCGAATATCACAGGCCATGGAGAATCATCGGCACCATGGGAAATATCTCTAAATTCGGATTCCATGCAGTAGCACGCGAGTGAGTGATTGCTAGTTCGGCATACCGGCACTAGCCCTGATGACATCAGTATGACGTACATAAATATATACGCAGGCTTTTGCATATATAGCAAGGGTGTGAACCATTACACCACCTGACCCTGGGAAACACTGCTAGCATTACTCAATCTAACAGCAGTCATCGAAACTCCCCGCATCTCCAGTACAGAGCGAATCCCCGGTGATATATTACAGTCATGTATGGCATCTCCTATTTTTAAGGCTCTCAATGGTTACCCCACTGGCCCGTACCCAGACAGATATGGGTAAGCGGGTGCTCGACACTAAAATAAAATAAAATAAAATCCCTGTAGCGGTACTAGTGAATATTATTTACATAATGGCAAATGGAAGTTAGGTATCATTTTATTCAACATATAATTGAAAATGGAACACTACCGCTCAACTACAGAAATGGTCAGATATATTAACATATGTCATTTAAGGGCTTAGTTCTTCAAAACTTGATGACTCATATGAAAAAGGTGAGACAGACAATATGTTTCAAAATGACCCAATGGGGGTCGGAATATTAAATCTCCTTCTTAAATGTATTATTATATACTTGTAAGCCATGGAAAAACTCTCAGGGAATGTTTTAATGCTGAGAGTAAGTGTATAGGTTGCTTCACACATTTTGCAGTGCAAGCTTATTATATGCATATTTATAGAATACTTAAATTGGTATCATGCTGGTTTCAACCTTGGTGGTACCAGGTGGTGGTAGGCCTGGTGTAAATTTCTATGAGTGCTGTGCTCTTAATCCAACATGTGTAAAAACAAAACTCTCACTGGCCCTGCTTCTGCCAGAAGTCGACCGGCAAAACCATTGCCCACTACAGCACTTAGTGAAAGTAGGGCTTCCAAACATGTAAAAAGTGTAGAAAACAATGGCCAGACTGGGAATTCAACCCAGAACTTCTGCATATATAGCAGGGGTATTAACCATTGCACCACCTGACTCTGGGAAATGCTGCTAGCATTGCTTAATCTAACACACTCCCTTAATGCTAGCACTCAACAATATTATATGCAGATATAGGTCTTCTCTGGCTCTTTTGTCCATACTTGTCCACTATACCACACACAAAATATAGCTGTTCACTCTACACACAGGAACCATGCCCTATAGCACACAGCAGGGCCCATAACCTGTTATGGTGTAGAAAATGAATGGGCAGACTGGGGATTTAACCCAGGCCGTCTGCATACAGTATATAGCAGGGGTGTTAACCATTACACCACCTGACCCTGGGAAATGCTGCTAGCATTACTTAATCTAACATGTGGTGGTATGATAGTATGCACCAGAATGACAGAAATATTTCTAAAGTTTATTTATAGAAACCCCAGGCCGAGCATCTTCAACTCATATGTCTCCGACTCTCACCCTCCATCTCGCGTATTTTAGCTAATATTGGTCGCCGCACGCCCACATCTACCCGCTTCATGTGCGTCCGCTCGACTAGCTCCTCGTTAGCCGCCGCAGTCATATCTGGGCCCGACGTACATTCATCTTCCTCTTCTTTCGAAGGCACCATGGATATGGAAGACTCGCGCGCATTTGTGGCCGCATTCCTGATCATAGAAGCTACTGTTGCCGCCGTCAGAGTCACAATGAACAACGACACAAATAATCCCAATCCATATTTTTTCTTCACTTTTTTAAATTAATTTTGATCTGTTCAAACTTAATCCCGACAAATCATCCTTCTTTCTGCAATGTCGAGCATTACGGAGACAGGGGAGTACACATCCCGGGTACAGACCGCCGCTCATATCTTATATATAGCTTAGCCACAACGTTTTTACCACCTTAGTTGCTCACCTAACGGTTCCAACAAAGGCTAGCTTACTATAGTTCTTCGCTCCTTTATCTCTACACCTTCCTCATGATTAATTTTCAACCCGTCATGCACGGTATGCCGGGTCGTAATGGTCGACCGAGTCCTGCAAATTGGTGCAACAGACTGAAAGTCTGATTTCAAGCTAGGTTGCAATCAAAGACTATAGCTAACACAATTCAGTAGAAGTAGACCAGGCCATGGTTCCTGCGGCATAACTCTGACTTATTCGCTTAGAACACTACATCCTGTCATAGTTAGAGACACAAAGCGAAAAGTATATATAAGCGCGATGGGCATGATCGACCAATGTCAGCCTTGCTTCCCCAGCACGGGAACCATCGGCACTGGTGGAATGATAACATCTCTCCCAGCTCTCCCTATTATTTTTCGCAATGCAGGTTCAGATCCTCACTACAGCCGTATCTGCCTCATGATCGACAAATATTCTCGTGTTTGCCAGTCCATTCACCAGGCGCACTTATTGGTTCCGGAGACTTTGTGGCATTATCTGGAGCAGCTGGAGGCATTTGAGTATGCCTTTTGATTCTCTTCTGAAGTTGGATTATATGAAATGGATTTATCTTCTTAACCGCTTTGATAACCCAAACCCCGCGAGGAAGATCGCTAAGGCTCTGGATGACAAACGCTTAGAGTTTTCAATCTTGCAGAGGGAGCCTGAGGGGATGGCATGGCTTGAAGTTGCTTTTTCAAAGCCTGTAACGGCGGGGGAGTATGAAGACGTGGGCACGTGGGTATATTTAACCACTCTATCTTTCATTATGATGCTAACATAGTCAGCACATCGGTTTGTGATCTGTGCGGCTCTCAGACGATCTGCACCGTTCTAGAATGCACCTGGACATTTGGAGAGTCTCTGGAAATTTTTGGAATGGGAGGTCTCGTCCGGGAGTCGGACAAATCAACATCCAATTTAATGATGATGGATGTCCCTTAGGTCAAATCTCACGTTACACACATCATCCATTGCGCATGGAACATCATTTTCAACAGTGAAAGTGAGGGCCTCAAATCTACCCACACCGCTGGTGTCAGAAATCTCATTAACCTCTCTTTCTCATCTCCACCACCCCAGCCTCCCCGCCTTGCATTCATTTTCTAGCCTTGCTGTCGCAAGACACTGACATCGACCCTTCCGCGCAGCCCAAGGTCGGGGATACAGTTGGCCAATGTCTTGTTCCGGAAGCACATGAAATGTTGGGGAGCGCATTTTCGTAATCACGTGTAATGCGGGGACCGGTCTAAGAGCTACCGTCGGGATGCTCAGCGGAACTCTAGACCCCGGAGCCTGGGCGGGTGGATCAGTTATACTGCGAACGGTTCTGGCGACAGGTGCATGTTCTGACGGGCTTTTGGTGAGTAATTACATGTTCTCTAAGTGAAAGCCTGTCGTCAAATAGGGTCCGTGAAACCGATGAGCTCTCAGAGAATGCCACCTTCGGATGGAATCGTTCTGTGAAGATCGCTCCAGAACTTGCTACGAGGACATTAGTAGTTCCGTTATTCCAAAAGCACTAAGAACAGTTTTAATAAATGCAAGAGGTCTGGCTCTATCATGTCCTTTGAAGAATATGGGTCTTGCAGATGCTTCTGTCGGCTTCCTGAAGAGGATTCATGTGCAATTGTCCTTATTAAAAGATAAATATTTTGTCTGTAATTTGAACTAGCATTCTGTTAGGTTAGGAAAGAGCGGCTAGACAAAATGTTTTACTGATACGATTAATTCGGTCGTATACTTTGGCGGGGGGGAGGGGGGATTTCGAATTCCATCAGGTTCGTTTTTCACTCAGTTATATTATATCAACTATGTTAATGGTAGTCTTTTTACTGTTTTTGAAACGAAACGAAAACTTCAATTCGGATTCAAATTTATTGATGCAAGTCTACCTCTACGACATATACATCACCGTGGCATATTAAAAGCGTTGAATTGTTCTGAGGCGTTCGATATTACGTAGAGTGCTAAGATGATCGGAATTGGTGGTTTACAGGGAGGAACGAGGACATTTAAATTCAGGCAACAAGTTATTTGAGAGCTTTGAGTTATTTATGAAATTATCCCATCGGTCACGACATGAAATGATGATCTATATTGCAGAATGGCCAAAATTATGACTAGATATATATATGGGCACGCAGCTTCTGGTACTTCCGCCCTGAACCTGACATCTCGATTACCAAGACTGGATGAGAATAGAGGAAATCATGTCTGATCCTCAAAGTGGAGCGGCTACTGTGCGTGACTGGTAGTATCCTGAGCCGATATCCCGGTAGGGGGTCCTTTCCAGCTGTATTTACGCTTTCATACCCAGACATACAGAGTAATTGAACCAGAAACTCTAGTGTGAAAGGCTCATTCTTATAGTCCCGCTCAAGACCGAGGCCAAGTACTTGCCAGAAGGTCCATTCACCCTGATTTCACCGTAGTACATCAGTAAAATGGTATTTGTTCCAAACGGCTCCCGGAGGAGATGCCCTCATTCGAGGAAGCTCCTGGACGTTGTAGAGCGTGTGGATCACCTCAGAATAGGGGTACCTCCTCCCAGCGTTTAATACTATTTTACTGATGTAATAGGGTTCTTTATTGGCGCCAGGTTTTTGATGCTACGGCTGGTTTCGTTCCGGCACGCGGGTATGTGTCGATGCTGGAGTCGCCACAATCTCAAGGCATTATTAATCAACCCCAAACGACCACTGGTTGTAGACATATCAAACTCCGATTTAATGCTCTGAATGTGAGAAATGAGAGTGCCAGATACAAGAATAAGAACTCAGTATTTGCACGCAGTCTGTTAAATAACTAATATTGATGACCTAGATACAAGAATAAGAACTAGGTAATAAAAGTAGGTAAAAGGACTAGATAAAGGTAGTTATAACTCGTATTTGCTGAAGGCACTGGACCGATGCCCCGAGTCCAAGTCGGCGAGCTTCAAGAATAATGAAAAAAATTATAGAACAAATCAGATATTAAATTTGACTAACTACATATAGCACCGTTGGTGTTTGCAATGTGGTAGTGTGGAAAAAATACAATGTTAGGGGGAAAAAAGTAATGATGACCAAGGGCCGAACAAGCAAAAAAGAGAGTAAAAATTGACTCGAAACAATTACACTTCCCACCGCTGATCGCCCTGCCAAAGTTAAACTAAATATTGGAACTCTGTGAGTAAGAATTCTCTCGGATCCCGGAGTTTTAGCTTTAGCGGCCGGGATTCCGATCCAGGGCTTGTATACTCGCTACCCCTTGCATATGCCATGGCACGTGGTTGTGCGCCGTTAGCGCACCAAAGGCTCACCCGAGCATGTGCGAAGCGTCATTCGCACGTGAACGGCCGACCTGCGTGCGAAAGAACGTTTTGCGCCCAAGGGGGTGGCGCAACTGGAAAATTGGACATACATTTTGGGCCGCACTCCCCGTGGTAATTGTTGAAAATCAAGACCCTAATAGTAATATAATAAAGCAACTATCTATTAGTTACAGTATCAGTGATTAGCTTAGGATCTTGACTCACCTCAGTCACATATATGTATAACGGACTGAGGTGACACTACAATGGTCAACTAGCTTATATATGCTGCAGGTCCAACCATCACCAGGCACCATCAACAATATGGCGGTGGTGTCGGGTGGCTATACCCGAGTGTTCATGATGTATACATTCCAACACTCCTCCTCAGCATGAACAACTGACTCTTCACTACTGGTGATCGAGGAAACCATGAAGTTGGACAAAAGTCAGTAGGTGCAAGGTGAAAGTGAGATGGATTTTTGGGTCGTATAATGTAGGTCCAAAATGAAGCTTGCTGGGTCGTAGAACTGATGGAAATGGCGGATTCCACTTCAGGAGATGCAGGTTTCGCGACTTTTGCCAATGAGGGTGGCAGGATGCCTCGAATAGTGGGCCACGAGAAATTGAAATACTGATCCGCCAGGGTCAACTGGAACAAAGCTGTGTGAGCCAGGACTGAGATTCTCCTCCTCGACTTGCATAGCTTTGGTCACAAAAAAATTGTGCTATAAATTTTGTCACCGAATTGGCCACTCAGAGGTGGTGCGGTGGACTTGGAACAAGTGGTTCCATAAAATTCGAGTTTTTTTTTTTGCTCAATATATTTCTGTAAGTTTTGTCACCGGCCAGACAGGGGTGGTCACGGTCAACTTGGAACAGGCGGTTCTGGAAACAAAAGGTAATCTTCTGCCATACATTTTGTCCCTAAAAAGGTAGACTTATAAATGTGCCAATATTTTTGTCACCAACAGCAGACATTGGAAAGAGGTGATCCCAAAAAAAAAACATAGCCAACAGAGAAATGACGGCGGAACAGTTTGCTCAGAAGCAATAAAATATGCCATGGGGCAATGATGATGGGTCGCTCAGAGGC